CTCGTTAAGGCCTCTAACTCAATCATTAACAGTTGAGCTGAGTAATCCTGACTCAAAAGCTCAATAAACGATGGTCCTTGGGTTGTGTGAATAAATCATAGCCAAAGAATTTCCTTCTCGGATTACTACTCCAATCGAACAACAAAACAACTCAGTTCAAGAACTCAATAACAAGAATAGTGAGCTAGTGTGAGTTCATTCATCATTCATCAGTTTCTTTTGAATAAAAATACATACTTGACTTTATAGCAAAATTGTACATACTGATACATGTCATATTTTTATTTAAGTTTCTCTTAATTAGTACTACCTCCTTTTTTAAATAAATGTCGTTTTGACTTTTTTGATTCATTCATTTTGCTATGTATGTAGACATATTAATGTCTAAATACATAGCAAAATGAATGAATCAAAAAAGTCAAAACGAAATTTATTTAAAAAAGGAGGGAGTATGATATTGGAATATGAACATTTAAATAACGCGTTACACATCTAATCTTAAATAGTGTAATGTCTTTTTTTAATGGTTTATTAGAGGTGGCATAACCTCAATTTTCAAAAGTAAGATCTAGTGGTTGACCAAATACGAAAAATGTCTACACAAACTCACTGGTTGACTTTTTCCACTTGACTAAAATGCCAGAGCGGCAGAGCCTCTTGACAAAACAAACAAGAAAAAAAAAAATATATATATATATATTCATATATGTGAAAGCCACCTGACATTAAAAGGGTAGACCTCATTTCTAAGGATGGACTCAAAAGCCTTAGTGGCAACTATTTCATTTACAGCCTCTGTCGTGTGCAAGCCGTCGAAAAACACGTATTCGTCTCGGTTCAGACAAACCGAGCCTCCTCGTCTGCACAAAACTCCCGTCCCGCCTTGACTTATCGGGATCACTTCACAACAAGAGCTATTCGTATTGCGAAAATCTGCAAGAATCGAACACAAAGTTATACGAAAACTCGATTCTTGTCTAGATTTAATGCAATGCGAAAAATAGCCATATTGCAACTGATTTTAGTTTTAATATATGATATGTTGGATAATCGACACATCTTAATTATACGAGACTTAATAATAGTTAATGTAGCGAAAAATGAATAACACGTCAATTTTTTTTCGTATTTCTATAGTTTCTTCACACGCGCGCAATAGTGAAAATGCAAGCGACGGTTTTAGTTTTACCTCTAAGACGAGGAAATCTTAGGATATCGCTAATAATTTTGTAGGCGTTGACGAAAACGAGGTTCGAACCGGGGATTTGAGGCCTAATATCGTCCACCAAGTCCCTCAACTGGTTGTTGAACAGCTCGGCTGCTCGATTTAGACTTTCGACACAACCATTATTAGCCGGGACTCGGGATGTAGCCATTGGGCTGCAGCCGTTCGGATTGATTGCCAATAGGACAAATTTACGAGCACCCAAACTGTACAGCCTCTGCATAGCATAAAAAAAGTCGAGCAAAATAATCGTTATATATAGCCATTAGACTTTCTTTCATTGCACTAACCAACAGAAATTAGATAATTATTAAAAAAAAAAACAAAAATTCTTTATTTTAGCTTGCTGAGAAAAATCTTTTTCTCTTATATTAAGTTTTTCGAGCTAGTCTCTTCTATATGACTACATCCATTACTTGATCGAGCAGTTGACTCAAACAGGACGATCCATATCGATTTTCCAAACAAATTCGCCTATTTCAAGTGTCAATCAGATCGAAATCGAGTGTTCTTAGTAAAGTTTACGTGCGATTCTTGAAACACCCTTTCCGCTTTATCTATGATAAAAGCACTCAAAGTAGGAATGTAAAACTCGGTTCGTTTATCAATATTAACGAGTCAAACTGGAGTCTTGATGAACCGAGCTAACGAATATTACATAAAAAATATATATATTCTCGAGCCTTAACAAGCCAACGACTCTTAATTAAACATGCTCGAGTCTCAGCGAGACGATCGATCCGAGCTGACGACACGCTCGTCTCGTTTTACAACTTAACTCAAAGTAACCAAACTTATGTATAAACAGTAAAGTATTACCTTGAGTTGGTTAGAGAGGTTGGAGGTTAGGTTAGCAGTAAAGTCTTCAACAGTGACATTACCAGCAAATCCCAGAAAGTAATTAAATGTATAGTCATTTGCTCCACTCCCCACCACAAATACAAACTCAGACACAATCTTTTCAGGGCTTTTCCCACTATTTTGCTGCTCCAAATCTGGCACTGTTACTGTCTCAAAATTACTTATTTGCTGATTCAAGCTTGTCACATTGCCCTGCAAATTCAACCATCTTGTAGGTCACAAATATAAATCATGTGACTGATGAATCACATGAATCCTATCACAAAAAACACAAAATGTGAAAGGAATTATATATAGTATTGCATCGAAACGCTTTAAAAATTCGATCTTGAGCATCGATATAGATCGAACATTTCGGACAAATTTGGTTCGATTAATCTACCTAGCTTATAAGCATGGTTTTCCATATGTGATAAGGTTAAAAAATGACAATTATCTAGCTGTGACATACGTAAATTTTAAGCTCGGCAGGGCCGAGCCGGTAAAAAAAGAGAGAAAAAACTTACTGCAACTGAACCAGTGCTATCAAGAATCCCAGAGCCACCAGAGGCATAGTTAACACCATGCAATATTTTGCTTCCACTTGTCGAAGGATTATAGAAACTCGGGATATAGTTTGGTAGCCTTAGCTTTTCTCCCAACAAGTCGACAAAGTTTTTACCGTTGGTAAACCGGCCCGTAGCAGGCCCGAGTGGAAAATCGACTCCGTAAGGTAAATAATCGGCTCTGGCTCGCGTGTTCGTTAGGAAATTGTTGTTGCCGTTGTCGACCACGGAGCTTCCGAAAACAAACATGCCCTTAACATTAGGCTCATGGGTTGTGATGATCAAACAAATGGATTGAGCAAACAATGCAAGGAGATTGAGACAAAAGAGAGGGAGTTTTTGTAACATGATGTTTTTCTTTTTTTTTTAGTATGTGTTTTGGTCTCTCTGTTTCCTTTTTTTAGCTAAGGACAGAGTTGATATGTGGTTTCTTGTGCTATTTATAGAAAGGGAATAAAAGCGTGTTTGGATACAAAAATTTCAGCTCAAAATTGATTTTTTTATCAGGTTAATTTGGAAAAATGTGTTATGATTAGTTGTGAGTGGTACTTTGAATTTATATTAAAATAATACTTAAAGTTGATTTAATGTGACCGTATAAAAAAATGATGTGAAATGATTGTTAGTTAAAATTATGTAAATTGATGAATATTAAATTAAAATTGATGTGACGTGTAAAAATAAGTGAATGATATTATTAATAATATTGAGGAAAATGAAATTTAGTTAAATTTTAGTTATTTTTCGAGTTGAACTGAGTATGGAACCATTATGTCTGAGTTTGTAACCGTTAGATCATCATGTAACTGTCGGGGATAGTTGATCTAACGGTTACAAACCCCGACGGAATGGTTCCGTAATGGAACTGTAACATCTTCCTAAAAATTGATATATGTTTCAATAGTGTGGATTTTTTGTAGGGTTAATTGCTAAATAAACCTTAACCTTTTTGCTTTTGACAATTATATCCTAATCTTTAGGTAATTGCAATATAATCTCGACCTCAATTTACTTATTGCAAGTCAAACTTAATACCGATTGGAACTTCAAAAAATTTGTCGATTTGAAGGCGGTTCGAACAAATCGTAGTTCATATTTACCGATTCACTTCAGATCTAGGAGCAGACTCATCACCGGTAGCTTACATTGACGTGGAATTTTCGGCTTTGTGCGTGGATATATATTAAGTACGTGGAAATTGTCAACTTGCTACGTGAATGGCATAAAAACTCGTGTCCATGGACGACTTGGACACAAAATCAATCCACAAATCCCTAAAATCAATCACTCTGCACCCAAATTTGCAACAAGTAAATTGAGGTCGAGATTATATTGTAATTACCGAAAGATTGGGATAAAATTGCCAAACACAAAAAGGTTAAAGTTTATTTTGCAATTAACTCAATAGGCATTTAATGATCTTTGAATTGAATGTATATTTTGCAAGATTCAATTACTTTGTGTTCCACATTTGAATGGGATGTTTGTAATGAATGCATAGAATTAGTCAACTAGTCTGTGTAAAGTATAGTATAATAAAGATGGGAATTAATTAAAAAGTTATAAGTATTGTTGAGGAGGGGGAAAGAAGAATAAGGAAAGAGAGAGAGAAAAAAAAAAAAAAAAAAAAGGAAACTAAGAAGAGTTAGATGAAAATTTTGAAATAGTCAAACTTCAAAAATTATATTGAGCCATCTCCGATAGTTTTCTTATGGAGATATTCATCACTTAATGTATTGACACCTGTCTAAAGTGTATTTATTGTAGAACTCGTGTCTATACACTATTTGTGAAAAAGTATGAATAACTTCATAAATCGTGTCTTCCAATGGTTCTATAGCAAAACTGCTTTTAGAATATTTCACAAAAATATTAATTCAATGCAAAATTAACAGAATTTAATAAAAAATAATAATAATTTATCAGCAAATCCAATAATATTAAATTTTTAAAATTTAATTATCTGTTCAATTATTGAGCAAATTAATAAATAACCTATATAATGCACCATATATAGGGCAATCCTAGTTGACATTAAAATTATTGAAACTGGTATCACTTGGTTGACTTTTTTTGCTTCATGATATTTATTTTCTGGATATAATAATCCTCAAAAAATATCATGACAGTTACATATATGATCTATTTGGTCCATCAAACATTAATGAAATTGCAAAATTCACAAGTTACCTTATTGATGGAGACGAGACCGGTTCGGATTCGCGGCCGAATCCTTTCCAACCGAGGGAGGATGATGGAGACGAGACCGCGATAGTATTTTTAAATAAATATGATCGTTTTCGTATCTAGTATTTTATTTTATTAGTTGTCTTTTATTTAGAATTGGGCTTTCTTTGTTAATTGGGGGTTATTGGACCTTTATTTATTGGGCTTTGCAGTAGGAGTAAGTATCTGATGTATAAAAATAATCGTCTCTCATTTGAGAGAGCAGACTTGATGAATAACAATTGAAATTTATCGTAAGAATTGTTCTTGTTCTTCCTGCTCATACAAACGCTCTACATCACTTATTCTTCTGACTCAATCTAATTTTGACAACTTGTGTGTGTTAGCTGATATATTACCAGAAATGCATGTACTGAATAATAAATTATAATTCTTGTATGATGTTGATTTCAATTGAAAATAGTTGTTGAAGTGTATTAAATGCCCATAACAAACACTAATCAATAGCTGAATGACTTGTTGTTGTATAGTCTTTTCAAATAAATACTGCATTAGTTTAACCTGCCCATTGTGTTTGTGTAGAGAAGCTATACTAATAGCCACATGTAAAACATACTATAATATTATAATTAATAACAGAAAAAAAAATAGTGGCAACAACTGAGTCGAGTCGAGTCGAATCAAGTGTTGGACTTATCGAGTTACTCTCGATTTTTTGGACTGTTGTTCGAGCATGATTGGTCAAATATTTTTAGGCAAATGTCCACTGCACAAGCGCCCGAGATAGGTTGAACTTTGATCAACTCGAACTTTGTTCAAATCAAATTATAATTTTCAATAAAAGAAAGTGAATTTAAACTGAATTCGAGCAGATCATTAAGCATTCAAACATACAACTACAATTTTGAACTTAAACTGAATTTGTATTTGAAGTGCTCGAACTCAGATCGAGTTTTGTCAAACTCGTGCTTGAGTCAAGCGATGTCTTGAACGAGCGAACCACTCGATTTGTTTGCAAGCATAACTTTAATGCAATTATAATTCAAGTGTGTACAATTGTTTTTTTTTTTTTT